ACAGATCTTCTTTATGCACCAAGAGCTTGTAACACTCCAAAGAGAAAGGAAAAATTGAAATCGCATCATATGACCCCTTTAAAAGCAAGTAAGATAAATAATTATAGTGCATGACATTTCATTTAATATATAATGAACTATATTTAATGTAATAAAATAAATGTATGCATGTATGTGTGTGTATATGTTATACTATATTATATATATATATAATTTTCATTTTATTAAAAGAAAAATAATAAAACACATTTAATGCATATATATATATATATATATATATATATATAGATATAGATATAGACAAATTGAGGGTTTCTCCCACGTACGACTGGACAGAGATGCAAATTCAGATAAAACTAAGGGAGGGGGTGTGTATCTATATAAGAGACAGTTGGTGTCGTAATATTAAAATTAGAGAGAAAATATGTAATCCTGATCTCGAACTGCTGTGCGTTACCCTGCGACCACATTACCTGCCTAGGGAATTCACTAACATCTTTGTGTGTCTTGTATATATTCCACCAAGCGGGAATGCCAATAGAGCAGCTAAGCAGATTACGGACTGTGTTCACCACCTTCTCCAGAGTAAACCTGATGCACCTATGCTGATACTCAGTGATTGTAATCATTGTAGCCTGACTAAAACACAGCCTGGTTTTTATCAGTATGTGAAGTGCAGGAATAGGAATAACAATATCCTCGACAAGTGCAATGGTAACATCAGGGATGCCTATATAGCTAAAACCAGACCATCTCTCTGTAACTCTGACCACAATGTCATCCACCTGCTTCCAACTTACTGGTCAGTTTTTAAGACTTGTAAACCCGAAATGCAAACTGTGAAGGTCTGGACAAAGGGAAAAAAAAGACGCTTTCTCTGTACGGACTGGAATATCTTCTTTGAGGATGCAGGCATTGACAGTGCAGCAGAATCAATCACAGATTACATTTCTTTCTGTGTCGACTCTATTATTCCCCAGAAAATGGTTAAGCGATATCCAAATAATAAACCGTATATTACTAAAGGTATCCGGGAATGCATCAGGAGGAAAAGAGCTGCCTTTATATCTGGCGACTTGGCAGGTGTCCATGATGCTCAAAAGGACCTCAATTTCCAAATGAGAGAGGCCCGGTGTCGGTTTAAGGAGCAGGCAGAACAGGACTTGTCTACATCTAATAGAAAGAAACTGTGGAATTCAATCAGACAGATGACCAATATGGACATAAAAAGGAAGCCAATTTTTATTTGCGTTTTGATACAGATAATGACAATGTTAAGGAATGTATGGCAGTTTTAGAGAATGTAATTTGTGTTATGAACTCGGACAGAATTTTAATTGAATCACATGCTGTTACTAAGGTCTTTAAAACTATACACACTAACAAAGCCACAGGCCCAGATAATATGTCTGCGTTTGTGTTAAAGACCTTTGCTGAGGAGTTGTCACCTGCCTGGCATAAATTATTTCAGTTCTCTATAGATACTCATGCCGGTACTGTGGAAAAAATCTGTTATCATCCCGGTACCCAAAAAGGGGTGCCCTCGGGAGGATAATGATTACAGACCGGTGACACTCACCTCAAATGTTTTTAAAACATTTGAGAGGCTTATGTTAGAAAAGTTACGTACAGATGTGGAGCCATTGCTTGATAAATATCAGTTTGCTTATACAAAAAATCGAAGCACAAGTGACGCCATTGCAACAATAATGCATCTCATTTTGAAGCATCTTGAATGTCCGACTGCATATGCCAGATTACTTTTTATTGACTTCAGTTCAGCTTTTAACTTAATACAGCCACACATTCTCCTCAGCAAGCTAGCCCAGGCAAAGGTAAATTCATTTTTAATCAAGTGGTATCATTCTTTTTTGTATGACAGGCCACAGCAGGTGAGGTTTAATTCTGCTTTATCTGACATAGCAGTATGTAGTACTGGCGTCCCTCAGGGGTGCGTATCTTCGCCATTTTTATTTACATTCTATACAAATGACTGTGTCAGTGTGGAGCCAAATTAATATATAGTGAAATTTTCTGATGACACCTTTCTACTCAGTCTGCTAACAAAAAAACTCTAATTTGAACAAGCATCGTGCAATGGTAGAAAAGCTTATGGATTGGTGTGATGCACATAAACTGCAGATTAACATAAGTAAGACTGTGGAAATGCTGGTGGACCCTGGTTCAGTAGGTAATCATGGCTCTGTGGCCATTTATGGCCATGAGATCGAGCAAGTGAGCTCATTTAAATATCTTGGAGTTCACATTGATAGTGATTTGGGCTGGCGCACACAGGTGACAAGTGTCTGTACCAGAATCCACCAGCGCCTTCATTTTTTGTGTAGACTTAGACTATTTGCCGTTTGTAAACATATTATGTTGATTTTGTACAGAGCAGTGATTGAATCGATCTTTAGTTATGGCATGACTAGCTGGTTTGGTAATTTAACAGTTACATCTAAAGCACAGATCTCCAGTTTAGTTAGGACAGCGGGTAAAACTATGGGTACTCCCGCTCCCCTTAATCCACAGGAGCTGTTTGAGCAGGCCATAAGCAGACAAGCTAGAAGTATCTTGTCTGACAATACACATGTGCTTTACCCTGAATATAGGCTGATGAATTCAGGGAGGAGGTTTAGGGTCCCATTGTGCAGGTACAATAGGTTTAAACATTCTTTTATCCCGTTGTCAATTACATTTTTAAATGATCAAAAGGGAATATATTCTGTGGTGGATTAGAGTGGGAGTGTTATCTGCATGAGATGAGTTCACCTGGTTAAATTGAATGGCACATTGAGTATTTTTTATATATGTTAATGTGTCTTCTGTGTTATGTCTTTTTTTGTGCAGCACGCCCTTTGTCCAAGCCAAAGTTCTCCCACGGGAGACGAATAAAGTTAACCTTACCTTATATACACTCTTAAAAATAAAGGTGCTTCAAAA